CCATTATTGAGCTGTGTCCGACTTAACGGAAAAACAGGAAAATTCGGAAATTCGAATGAAAGCAGAAGTGAAATTGTTTATTCAGACTCTTCTCTTGTGTTTTGAGTTGCGTTTGCGATTTCTTTGTTGCCGGTTGCATCTTCTGTTGTGGCGGCAGTGGAGTTGCTGGTAAGCGCTTGTGATGTTTGAGTGTTGACAAGTTGTGTGTCAGAAGAGCTACTTGTAACAGAAGCCTTCGCAATGAAATTTGACAATTCATTAGCATCAAAAGTTGGTGCGAATGTTTGCAATTTCTTTTCTAATAGCACTGCGAATACACGGTCATCCAAATCGTAAACGCCTTTCAAATTCAAAGGACCACACTTTACAGTTTTAACATCAACATCTTTCGGAACCGGTTCTTTGATGGTGAACTGTTCATCCTTTCTGTCAGTGTTCGCTTTTAAATTTTTCGCAAATGGAGCGAAAGATTCTACTACACAACTTTCGGAAAGTTTAGCATTAATCTTCACATGAATAACTATCATCTTTTCTTTTGACATCTCCACATGTGAAAATTTAAAATCAGTCCATGTGGGAAATCTATAAATGATGAAGCGATGAGTTTCTGATTCGAATCTAAAAGGACGGAATAAACTTGTTGATTTGTCATTAATGCTCACTACTTTTGTTACTTTCGACGGAGTTGCCGGTAAAATATCTTCATCCGAATATTCGTAATCTTCATCTGATTGTTCGTAATCACATTCATCATCATCATCATCATAAGTTGGCTCCTTCTCAAGTTGTCTCTTTCTCTTCTTCTCAGTTTTTTGCTCAGATTCAGCAAGATAACTGTCCATTCTATCAGTAAATTCTTGTCTTTCTATCATATCATCATCAACATTTTCGGAAACATCGTCATCTTCCGGTTCGGTTTCGGTTTCGTTTTTTGTTTTTTGTTTACCGAAAATCGAATAATATGCTCTTCTCACTTGTGAATTAGAATAACCATAAAGTTGGCCGAATGAAGTAAACACACTCTCTTGCTTTACACCTGCTTTCTTGTTTTTTAAGTAAAAATCCTTTAATTTTACCTTGTCTGCTGCTAAAAACCGAGGCTTCGCTTCAACCGCTTTTTTCTCTACCGGTTTCTCTTTTGGTTTTTCTTTTCCTGAAGTGGCTTTCTTTGGAGGCATTTTTTTTTCGAAACTTTTTATTCGAATATTTTTTAAATTTAAATATTTAGGATTCGAATAAAATGCCTCTCTTTTCAACATACAAAAACATCTTTCCAAAAGGAAACGAACGTGCTTTTAGAGCATCATTTGGCTTTTCTTCTACTCAACTTCAATATATTTACAACAAATTCATCAAGTACAAATTGAGTGAAAAATGGTTTTTAATATTGATGGAATATTTAACACTTTATCCGAATTCACTTGTTCATCCTGTTTACTGGAATGTTTCACGTTCATCATATTTCACAAACATTGAAAAAGGACAAAAAGTATTAGATAACAATCTACCACCACTAAATATTGATGATAGAAAAGATATTAATAACACAGCTACTGGTATGTTCAGAAGGATTAAAGTTGTTGTTGATGGTACAGAATGTAGGATTGAAAATCCGTCTGGTAGAAAGAAATCCGGATTAAGCAGAATCGAAAAGCAAAAACTATGGGCCAAACAGAAATTGTATTATTCGTATAAAAAGCGAATGCATGCATTGAAGTATCAAATGTTAGTGAGTTTGACAACAGCGAAAATTCTTGATGTTTCAAATGCGTATCCTGGTGCGATGCATGACAAAAAGATGTGGGATGAATGGTTGCAAGAAAAAGAACCGAACATTGGTCCAGACGAAAGAGTGTTAGGTGATAAAGCGTACAAAAAAGCAAAACACGTAATTTCGCCAGTGAAAGCGAAAAAAGGACAATCGCTCTCTTCGTTTGATGCATCCTACAACAAGACATTAGGACAAGGAAGAGTTGTTGTTGAACAAGTAATCGGAAGATTTAAAAAGTTTAAAATAGTACATCATACCTATAGAGGTGACCTTAAAAAGCACCAACGAATTGTTCGTATTTGCTCTAAGTTGACAAACTTGTCACTCAGCTTTCAACCTGTCCGCAAACAACCACCAAATGTTCTTTTCAAATAAAAACAAAAATTTTATTAACAAAACGCAACCGAAAAGAAATCGAAAAGCGGAAAATCACGTTTATTCGGTAAACTGGACAAGGCTCATTCATAAATATTTCATTCCTTAATTTGTCATCACTTTCCTTAGCAAAGTACAAGTAATAATTATCTAAATAATGATAACTAAAATAGGGTATATCTCCTTTGTAAATATACGAGTTGGTTCTTACAATTAGTGGCTCATCAATTCCACTAATTTTCACAGTCAACTTGAAATGTATAGTTGCATGAAAGTGCTCTTTAAACCCCAAATATTGTTGGAATGGTTTAAGGTTTAAATCATCTGTATATTGAATGGAATTGATCATCATTCTTGCTAGAATCATTCTGGTCAATTGTGATGAAAACTTGTTAGGGAAATTTCCTTTCAATTCACAAATTTGTAAATAATTTTGATAAAGTGTAATCTTGTTAGAAACTCTGCAAGCATATTGAGTGAAATTATCTCTCATTTTGTGTTTCCAGAAATTTTCATCTTGTGAAATAGTATCGGAAGAAACTTTTGTTTTTCCCTTCCGATTATTCGAAAGTAAATGAAAGTAAAATTCCCACAAATCATTGCAACTTGCTATCCGATTCCACTCCTTGCATACAAGGGAGAGACTTACAACCTGTGAATAATCCAGAAATGATTAGTTTATGCATTTTCAATTATTAAATTATAATTTGTTTAGTTTCATTTAATAACACGTTTGGGGATGGACTCACTCCATGTGCACGATAATAACTCATAACACTAGGCAAGGCCCTTACATTTGGTAAACTAATAACTGTATGCCAATACTCCAATACTCGCTTTAGGTACAAATCAATGGTTCTTCAAATCCAATTTTTGAGATATCAAAAGATTAGTGATGTTGATATGCTCAATGATTTCCAACAAAATTGATGTAATTGTAATAACTTTCATTACTGAAAGGAATACTACAAAGTATTGCAGGATTATTCAATACTGGTGGAATTATCTTCTTATCACCTTCAGTTGAAACAATCGCTCTTGCGTTGTTAAATCTTGAAAAGAAATATTTGAAATCTTGCAATGAATTCAACGATTTTGAATATTCGAAATCATCCACTATAATTAAATCCACATCTGTTGTATCAATAATTCCTCTTCTAATAAATCCCAACAATCTCGATAAACTACTAATGATAATATTAACATGTTTCGTTGATTCCTTCGTTTCTGTTGCACTATTCAATATTTTGAATGAGAAAACATCTTGTGAATCAGTAGTAGATCCAATCATTGTCTTTAAGTTTTCTTCATATTGATGACAATATTCCAATATTGGACAAACTACAATGACTCTCCTAACTTTTCCCGCCAATATTTGTTGCAAACAATACAAACAAGTAAGCCACGTCTTTCCCGTTCCATTGAACGAGAATAGTATCAAATCATGCTTCATGATATCAACATGTCGATTATTA